ACAAGGTATCCTAAGCTTTTACTTATGATGAAGCAAGAAGGAAAACATGTTCCAGTATTTTTATTGCCTATTTCCTTATAAATAAATCTCATTTTGACTTAGAGATAAATCACCTAGGATTGCAGCCTTCTAAGTAAGGGCACAGAACTATAATTTGCTCATTTATAAGTTTGATTTAAAGCCTCAGAACTAGGAAAAAAGTTTGTTTCATTTCATTTATGATGATATGGAAAGACAAAAAGGAAGCTCCAGCAGCATTTCACTTAGTAGTAGCTAAGGGTGGGTTCTCCCAACCACCATCAGTTGGAATTGGCCCCGGAGGAAAGAGGCGAACCATCACTACAGTGTGCTGCCCAACACCAGTCCTCTGAGCTGATCAAGAAGGATACCATAGTTGATGATACTGAAAGCTACAGAGAAGTCAACTAGGGCAAGGATGGATGCACAACCTCCATCCCTCCATCTCAAAGCACGACCAATGCTGTTTCTATTCTATGCCCAGGTCTGAATCCCAACTGAAAGGGATCTAGATCAGCGGTTCTCAACCTATGGGTCGTGACCCCATTTGGGGTCGATCGACCATTTCACGGGGGTCGCCAAGCAAGGCTGTCCGCCATTTTTTTCCCCTTTTCCGGCAGGTGCCTTACCTCCCTTGGGCTGGGCCAGCTGGTGGTCGGCCTGCTCTGTCTCTGCCACTTGCCAGCTACGCCTCGGCCGGCGCAGGGGGCGGAACCACGCATGTGCGGCGCTCCCGGGCAGGGAAAGTCCTCGACTTATGACCGGTTGGGTAGTCCTCGACTTATGACCGGTTTAGTCCTCGACTTACGACCGGTTGGGGGTCGCGGCATTAAAAAGGTTGAGAACCACTGATCTAGATTATCTGTTCCCTCCAAGATTTTCTGAGACTATTGCACAACCATCTTCTCAATCAACTTCCCCCCAAAGGGGAGACTAGATAGTGGATGAAAATTGTCCAGTATAGTAAGGCTTCTTGAAGAGGAAGAAACCAAAGCCTCATTAATTTATTTATTTATTTATTGGATTTTTTACCCCGCCCTTCTCCTTGCGGACTCAGGGCGGCTAACAGCCTGATAAGAGGCAAAGAAGCAACCCCTCACTCAAGGAAGCATTAACCACTGCTAGAACCCACTCACATGACACAGCCCCCCCAGGCCACTTTAACCAACCAGGAAGGACATGGATCTAAAGAGCAGGTAGCTGGGCTCACAGTCCTAAGGACCTCGTCCACTTCTACAGGTCCAGTAGGTTCATACCATTCCCAGATAACAGGCCAAGGTTCTTCCCAGAGCTTCTCCATCTGATCTGCAACAAACCAAGTGTTGAATTGAGAATGAATCTGAGCGATTTTATTGACAGTGCTGGGAAAATTTTTCCACACACCCGTACAAAAGGTTCTCTGAACCATCCTTACCCAGGAAAGCTTGGGTCACCCAAAACAGGGCCACAAGATGACTCTCTGTGGACACAATAAGAGGAATAATGATCTTCCATCCTCATTGTCAATACAATATATATATGATCAATATATCGCCATGGTGGTGCTATGCCAAAGAAGAAAGTTAGTAACATACTATGGAGTCTTGAGTAGATTTCTCTTCAGCATCTCTTAACAGAGCTATCAGATTAGGGATGCAAAAAGCTAGACATACATTCTCAATGCTCTCTATTGATCATCAGGACTTTTACAGCCCAGATCTGTGAAAAACTGCTGCAGAAGCAAGAAAGCAGTAAAATTTAGTCTAAAAGATAGATGTTAAGATGCAGATCATTTTACTGATAGAATTTAAAATGCCTCCTCTTTCTCCAATATAATTTCTGTTGTCTCTCCTTTTGGTCATCTGCAAACTGCAAACTGCAGGTTTTTAGGGCCAAGTTAGCACAGCAGAATAAGTTAAAATGTGGTTTGCATCTTTGTGAATAATAATAATAATAATAATAATAATAATAATAATAATAATAATAATAATAATAATAATAATAATAATAATAATACCAGAAAAATAATGACAATGAATCATGCCCTTCATCCACGCAGTGACATTGACAGACTTTATCTACCAAGGCAAATAGATGGGCGTGGAATGCTGCAAGTACATCAGATGATTGAAGAAGAAGAAATGGCTTTGGAAGAATATCTGAAGGACAGTGATGAAGATGCACTGAAATTAGTATATCAGGAAGGCTTACTGACTACTGGAGAGACCAAACTGGCCTACAAGAAAGACCAAATGAAGAACAGAATAGAGGCATGGAAGACAAAGCACTACATGGCCAGTACATTAAAAAAATAGCTGGGAAAGCAGATAATAACAAGACCTGGCAATGGCTAAGAGCAGGAAAATTGAAGATAGAGACCGAGGGACTAATTCTGGTTGCACAAGACCAAGCCTTAAGGACAAATGCATATAAAGTCAAAATTGAGAAGACAGCAACAGACAGTAAGTGCCGCCTATGCAAACATGCTGAAGAAACAGTGGACCACCTGGTAAGCTGCTGCAAGAAGATCGCACAGACTGACTACAAACAACGGCATGACAAAGTAGCAACAATGGTGCATTGGAAGATCTGCAAGAAATATCATTTGCCTGTAAGCAAGAACTGGTGGGATCATAAAATAGAGAAAGTCATAGAAAATGATAAAATTAAACTGCTCTGGGACTTCAGAATTCAAACAGACAAGCACCTGCAACATAACACCCCGAACTTAACAATTGTCGATAAGAAAGACAAATTAATCTGGATAGTGGACGTGGCAGTGCCTGGAGACAGCAGAATAGACGAGAAAGAACTGGAGAAGATAACAAAATACAAAGACCTACAAATAGAAATAGAAAGACTGTGGCAAAAGCAAGCAAGGGTAGTACCAGTAATAATAGGCGCCTTGGGTGCAATCCCAAAACAACTGGAGCACCACTTGAACACCATTGACATTGACAAATTCACCATTAGTCAATTGTAAAAGGCGGCCTTACTATGAACTGCTTCCATCATGCGACAATATCTGTAATATGATCAAACATCCACATCTGCCTATCCCAGGTCCTTGGTAAGGACTCGATAGACAAAAATGCCAAATCCAGTCTGAACATCTGGCTGACTGTGCGATGATCAATCGTAATAGTAATAGTAATAGTAATAATAGTAATAATAGAGTTGGAAGGGACCTTGGAGGTCATCTAGTTCAACCCCCTACTCAGGCAGGAAACCCTATACCATTTCAGACAAATGGCTGTCCAGTCTCTTCTTAAAAACTTCCAGTGTTGGAGCATCCACAACTTCTGGAGGCAGGTTGTTCCACTGATTAATTGTTCTGTCAGGAAGTTTCCCCTTAGTTCTAGGTTGCCTCTCTCCTTGATTGGTTTCCATCTGTTGCTTCTTGCCCTGCCTTCAGGTGCTTTGGAGAATAGCTTGATCCCCTCTTCTTTGTGGCAACCACTGAGATATTGGAAAACTGCTATCATGTCCCCCCTAGTCCTTCTCTTCATTAAACTAGACATACCCAATTCCTGCAACCATTCCTTATATGTTTTAGCCTCCAGTCCCCTAATCATCTTTGTTACTCTTCTCTGTATTCTTTCTAGAGACTCAATGTCTTTCTGTTGTTACTGTTGTTTATTAACTATGGTTTGTAGTTTGTTGGAATATGGCAACCTTGCCATTTGCAATTCATTCAATTCAGATCAGACTGTGGTTTAACACGTTGTGTGGACCCAAAGGTGCTTTTTCAAGAGGCAACTGGACTTTCTTGTTTTTCTTTGAAGACATTTCGATTCTCATTCAAGATGAGAATCTTGGATGAGAAGTGAAATGTCTTCAAAGAAAAATAAGTTGCCTCTTGAAAAAGTACCTTTGGGACAACATGACCTGGTTGACAGAATCTCTACAGACATTGTGTGGACATTGTTTTTGTGTATGCAGTTAGGAATGAATCCAAATAACAGGAAAACTACAGGTGGGAGAATCTTGAATGAGGAGGATACAACTTCATCAGAGAGTTTAATTTTAAAAACCACTTGGAAAAGATTTGTCAGATTTCGGCTAAAATTTATTTCACTTATAGCCTGCAAACTGGGAAAGAAAGAGAATGTTAAAGACAATAAGAGATTGGCAGGAATGTTAGAGAGAGAGAAAAACAGTGTTTGATCATTGGGTATTTGTCCTTCATAAAGTTGCTAGTTAATTCCATCAGTATTGCAGCATCATTCAAACAGAGAACATAACTTGTGGTCCAGATATAACAACAAAATGACATTGCATTTATTCTCTACACTTCCATCACTAAACTTTCTTAATCTAAATAATTTGACCTAATTATGAGCAACAAGGAGGCTATAACTGATATATTTAAAAACTGCTGTTTGTTAAAATATGATACACTTTCTTCACAAAGATCTCCATTGAGCATGTTAATTAAATACTTAGCCATCCTCAACTATTCCATTTTAGAAATAAAATTAAATTACTAAGCTGTTCTATTTTTCTCCTCCCTTAAACACTTTGAAATGTAAATGATTTGACTCTTGTATTAGTTTGGCTGATATGACTGCTTTCCACATTTCAGAGAGAATTAATACAGCTAAACTTGAATTTAATGGACCGATTGGAGAGAGAAGGGTACATTTGTTACTCCCAATGCCTGTTAAATACAAAAGTACATCTTCACAGTGATTGACATCACTTACATAATGACATCATTATGCAAATGATATAAATTGTTGTATCATAAAATTAAGATAAAATTAGTGTAAATTTAACTCCCTTATACAAACAATTATATGTAATCAACGTGTCTGTTATTTCAGGGGAACTGTCCAAATAGAAATTTGGTCCACTGTATCCAAAGTCTACTGAATATAGGTCTGTTAAATCAGGATTTCATTCCAATATATATGCAGCAAGCTCAGTTGTGGTTTTCAAAGTATAGTAAAATAAAAAAGAAGTAGAAAATAATTTAACTCAGCAACAGCAATAAGAAAAAGCTATGTTTCCTGGGTAACCATGACTGATGAATCTGCTAGATTAGATTTCTGAAGTTCCTTTTGACTGGCTTGGAGCAAATTGTATAGCTGAGAAAAAGAACTTGCAGAATTGCTCTGCATGTTGGAAATATCCTTGCTCCTTGGTTGTGCACAATCATGCACTGCCTGCTGTAACTGCAGCTGCATGGGAAAGAAAACGGCTGATCCTCCAAGGTTTAGAGTGAACCAGGGGCGAAATATTTTATCACAGATGACCTATTGGAAAAGAAGAAAAACAGAGTCTTGTACTGAAGAATCACATGAGATCACATGAATCACAAGTTCAGTCCTGTTGAATTTTGCAATTTATGGATGTATATATTTTTTTAATTTATTAAGGCTTCTGTGCTGTTAAATTCCCATTGGCTCTATATGGCTCACAGAGCACCACAATAGGACTATAAAATAAAAATCTGACACATAAACACCACACAGACCATGACAGGGCCATTCTGTAATGAGATCTTGGTTCAGAGCAGTTTTTATACAAGTGACCCACTCTGCTTGGGCAGAGAAAAATCTATGCATTGTGTGGCAAGGGAAACAACCAGCAGCCAGCCCCACCAAGGATTTTGGTTGTGGCTCCCAGCCCCATTGGAGGCTAATGTGATCAGTCTCAGGGGTTTTTGCTTTACTGGGAAGGTGTGGAGATTTAAGGAACTTATTAACTCCCCCTCTCCTAGACCAAAAAGTTCAAAATCTGTTGGCTCCACCTACTTCAATGTTGATGTTATGATGCCCCCTGAAGAGACCCAAAGACCCAAAATTTTACTCCCAGGCAGGAAAGTTCTCCACCCCATTTTTCACTAAATAAATCAATGCAAACACATAAACATTCATCTGGGCAAAAAGATGGACTTTTGGCATCTAAATAAATTGTATTGTTCTGCACTGGAGGCAGGTTATACTTTAGGTTTTTCTTCTCTTCTGGCTGCTGACAAATTTCCCCACTGTTTTATTTATCATTTATTTTCAAAGACTTATATAGTTGCCCCTATTGTAACTCTAACCCTGGCTGATGCACAAAACAGGAAAAAATAGTTCTCCACCCAAGCACAGGAATAAAAACTCAATAAAAATTTATTCTGCCTACTCCTCTCTTGGGTAAACACTTAATACAAACTCAAGAAATTACTCTGAGGAAGTGGTTTCCAATAAAATGAGTAAGAACAGACTTGAACACTGGGCACTCTCTAACAAAATGAAATTCAATGGTGAAAAAAGCAAAGTTCTACATTTAGGCAAGAAAAACCAAATGCACAGGTATAGTATAGGGGGTACCTTGCTCAATAGTAGTAACTGTGAGAGGGACCTCGGAGTCCTAGTGGACAATCACCTAAATATGAGCCAGCAGTGTGCTGCAGCTGCCAAAAAGGCCAACACAGTGCTAGGCTGCATTAACAGAGGGATAGAATCAAGATCACGTG